TTTTGATTTATTGTAGAGATGAGGGCTCGCCAAGTTGCCCAGGCGGGTCTTGAACCCGCAGGCTCAGGCAGTCCGCTTGCCTCAGCCTCCCAAAGTGCTGGGATTACAGGCTGAGCCACCGAGCCCAGCCCAATGTCAAATTTTTAACATTTCTGCTGTCATATATCCAAGTGCTCTTTCTTGTTCTCTAAATGTTCCTTTCTAAAGCTTCTTGCTATTATTTCCTGCATTCAACATTTTCTCTTTGAGGCACTCTCCTCTATCTGTATATAACATATATTTTTTAATTTGTAGAGATGGGGTCTTGCTCTGTCCTAGGCTGATCTAAAACTCCTGGCCTCAAGCAGTCCTCCTACCTCAACCTCCCAAAGTGCTGGGATTACAGGCATGAGCCACTGTACCAGGCCTGAACAGTGTAATTGTAATCATGTAGGCAGTATAAGTATAGGTTATTTAAAGTTATTCTTCTATTCTCTATCTTGTTTCTTTTTCTTCCCCCAAATTTCTTGTTTCTCTTTGTTTTGGTCTCTGATTTTTATGTTAGAGGCTTTCTTCAAAGGTTTGGTAATCCTTGGCTGTCTGTTCACTGGTAAGAGCAAGGCACTAACACAAGTATTGGGAGTTCTGTGAACCCCATGGTCATGTGCATGATGCCGTTCCTCTTTTGTTATAAAGTTGGTCCCTTGGTCTAGATGTTTTGTGGGATCCTGGGATCCTGTGCCAATGGGTTCAGTGCTCTATAAACCCTGACATAGCTGAGGCCCTATGGGCAGGAAACCTGCACCTGCATTGTGTATTGATTTCTGTTGATAGAAGTGTCTGTTCCTTCTAGGATCAGATGAGTCCCTTGTAATCAGTTTACCACCAAATGACTGGTGGGTCTCCTTGGTGGGGGGCTTGTTACTGTGTTGGGGGCTCTGCATTGCTCTCTGCTACTAGCATGTAGACTTTTGGAAATGAAGTAGCTAGATTAGCCTTGGTGACCCTGGTCTTCTTTTGTGTTAAGATGTCATTAGCATATTTTTCTTAAGAATGAGGTTGAACATCTTCTCATATGTTTAAGCGCCATTGTATTTCTTTCTCTGTGAATTGTTAAATTCATATTTCTGTAGGGTTCTTGATCTTTTGCATTTTTAGGATCTCTTCTCTTAGTGATATAAATTAAATATTTTCCCCAGTGTTCAATTTTTTCTTTGCTCATGGAGTTTTTTTTTCAAGTAAAAATGTTTTTCTTTTTTGTTTTTTTAAATGTAACTAGATTCATCAGCCTTTTTCTTGTTGCTTCTGAATTTTTTGAGTCAGTAACGTTTTCTCTAGGCCCAGGTTATGGAGGAATTCACAATTTTTTTCCTCCTAGTTCCTATATAGTTGTATTTTTTTTTTACATTTAAATATCGAATCCATTGAGAAGTTGTTCCAGTATATTTGTATGAGGAATGAATCTAGTTTTTTGATATAACTGTTCAGTTATCTCAACCCAACTTGTAAAAAGCCCATTTTTACTGATGTAGCTTTTATTTACGTATGCAGTTGGTCTATTTCTGGACTTTCAGTTCCATTCCATTGGTTGATCTATGTGTTTATGTCCTAATATTAATCTCAGTTTTAAAAACTTTTTATAGGTTTTAATAACTGGTAGAATTAACTATTCTTTTGCTTCTTTTTAAATAGAGTTTTCCTATTTATTCTTGTAAATTTGTTCTTCCCAGTGAACTTTCTTTTTTTTTTTTTTGTTTACATTGGGAAATATAGTTGATATAGAAAGTAAATGAGAGAGAGAGAGAGAAAAAGAGGAGATTCACTTCCCCAAGGTAGGGAAGGGGGCCAGAGTCAGGAAATATGGTGATGTCCATAGCTCAAAGAGCACATGGCCACACCAGAGTCTAGTAAGGCCATGGCACCGAGTGAACTTTCTAATCAGTTTTCTACCCCCGGAAGTAATTTGAAATTTTTGTTCCTATTTCAAATGTCTAAATTTACATAGGAAAAACTGGAATCTTTACGGTATTGAGTTTTTCTATCCAAGACCAAGGTGTGTTTTTCTCTATTCAAGTCTATTTTTCTGTTTTCAGGACTTTTTGTTTTTGTTTTTTTTTGAGTCGGAGTCTCACTGTCACCCAGGCTGGAGTACAGTGTTATGCTTATAGCCACCGCAGCCTCAACCTGCTGGGCTCAGGCAATCCTTCCACCTCAGCCTTCCAAGTAGCTAGAACAACACGTATGTGCCACCATGCCCAGCTAATTTTTTTATTTAATAAAAAAAATATATTTTCTAGAGGTCTCGCCAAGTTGCCCAGGCTGGTCTCAAACACCTGAGCTCAGGCAGTCTTCTTACCTCGGCCTCCCAAAGTGCTGGGATTACAGGCATGAGCCACCATGCCTGGCCTGGTTTCAGGAGTTAAAACACTCATAAGTTTGAACATTTCTTTCACCTAATAAAACTTCAACATAATATTGTGGATCATATTTTTTAGGTTTATACTCTTTCACTCTTGAGCCTCATCCTTCTTAGGATGTAGTTTCCCATTTATGGTTTCTGTCATACTTTCTGTAGTAGGGAACACCTCTCATGAGACACAGAGGTTCTCCAGATCTGCCTTGAACCCGAAAGAGGACTCCTAATTTGTGTGGGCTGCCATCATTTCAGGGTAGAATAGTAGGAGTCTGTTTACCCTGTTTGTCAGCTAGCAGCCTAACCGTGACACTTGGATTTCTGCTACTGTCCTTGTGTATCATTGTTGCCAGGTTGGTTTTCCTTAACAGGTCAGAATGTTTTATTACCATGGGAAAGACTTGAAAAGAAGGTCTAACTCGGGAAGACCTACCCTTAATACTTAGGTGTCCTATGGAAAGAAATGTACAAAACAATAGTGCTACAAGAAGGACACAAAACAGAGAAGTTTCCTCTGTCAGAATTCCAAAAAGACAGTCATTTAAAAAAAAATTCAGACTGGGTGCAATGGCTCACACTTGTAATTCCAGTGCTTTGGGAGGTCAAGGCGGGAGAATTACTTGAGACCAGGAGTTCACAACCAGCCTGGGAAACATTTGGTCTCTACAAAATATTTTAAAAATTAGCAGGGCAGAGTGGGGCACACATGTAGTCCCAGCTACATGGGAGTCTGAGGTGGGAGGATTGCTTGAACCCAGAGAGTGGAGACTGCAGTGAGCCAAGCTTAGGCCACTGTACTCCAGCCTCAGTGACAGAGCAAGATCCTGTCTCTAAAAAAAAAAAAGAAAAAAAATGAGACAGAGGAGCTTCCAGGTTGGTGAACATATCAAGGTGCTGGGAGAGCAGCACACCAGGGAGAGAATGAAGCCCACGAGATCCCCCTACCTTGCCCTGTGCCTCTCCTCCATCTGGCTCTTCCAGAGTTGTGGCCTTTATGATAAGCTGATTATGCTTTCCAAAGATAGCCACGGCGGCATGAGTGAAGATGCCTCCAGATGATGCCTGCCCCCAGCCTTCGATTCACCCCCAGTCTTTGATGCTTCCTTTGGTTACACATATCATGAGGGAAAGATAAGACATTTTCATTGTCCCCTGTCCTAATTCCTGACACACAGAATACATGAGCATAATACGGCAGTTGCTTTATGTTAAAAAAAAAAAATCAGCCACTGAAACAGTTTACTTGAGAGAACTCTGTGGCTTTTGTTTCCCTTCCAAACAGTATAACTCTTTCTTCTGTACTTTGTGAGTGAGTGACACACACCCTGCAAGTTCCCTGAAAACTGGTGTTTTGGTAAAGCGATGGTAAATGTTAATGCTGAACTTTCCTGTGCTTTCTGCCTTTTGCTTGCTTCCTGACAGAAGTTATTGTGATGAATCAAAACGTTTCAAAAGTCTAATTTTTGTATGCATAAACTTTGACTTCGGACCCCAAAACTGATCCTCCTCCTATGTTAGTTCCAAGTCCTTTTTTATGGGTCTTGCTTGTGTCTACCCTGTTCTCTCATCCATCCCTCTCTCCCCCACCCAGTCCATGGTGACTTAATAGAGAGTAGGGACCTGTGTGAGAGAAATGGAGGCTGGAGAAAGAGCTGTGCAGAGTTTTGGGGAAGAAAGCCCAGGGCTCCCCTTGCTTCTTGGAGCTGAGTCTTCGTGTGCTTTATGTGTACAGATGGAGTGGTTTACGCCTGGGGCCACAATGGTTACAGCCAACTTGGGAATGGGACCACCAACCAAGGCATTGCTCCCATCCAAGTCTGTACCAACCTCTTGATCAAGCAAGTGGTTGAAGTCGCTTGTGGCTCCCATCATTCAATGGCTCTGGCAGCTGACGGAGAGGTAAGTACGCTGCTTTTATTCTTTTAAAAAATTTTGATAAAATACACATAACATAGCATGTACCAGCTTAACCATTTTTAAGCGTATAGTTCTGTGGCATTCAGTGCATTCACATTGTTGTGCAGCCATCACCACCGTCCACCTACAGAACTCTTCATCTTGCAAGGAGGAAGCTCTCTGCTTGTTAAACATGAACTCCCTGCCACTCCCGCCCCCACCCTTCTAGCCCCTGGCAATCACCACTCTGCTTTCTGTCTCTGAGTTTGGCTTCTCTAGGTACCTCCTATGAGTGAACCCATCCAGTATTTGTCTTTTTGTGACTGGCTTATTTCACTTAGCATCGTGTCCTCAAGATTCATCCATGTCATAACGTGATAAGATTTTCTTCCTTTTTAAAGCTGAGTAATATTCCATTGTATGTATACTATAAGTCCTCATTTAACATCCTCAATAGGTTATTGGAAACTGTGACTATAAAAGAAAGGACATGTAATGAAACCAGTTTTACCATAGGCTAATTGTGTAAACAAGAGTTAAGTTCCTATGGCATAGTTCTAGCAACAAAAATATCACCAAACTTGAAAGAAAGACCCAAAACACTTCTCATGTTAAACATTGAAGTAAAGGTGATTTGTGCATATATTTAAGAAAGATTAATAAAGACAAGTGGTTTAAATCAGGGAATAAATGTTTGCAAAGCGAAAATTTTGAGGCGTATCTCCTATCACACTGCAGCTTGAAACAGTCACAAATATGGTGGCTTGCTCAACACTTTTATACTGCGTCATTTATTGCCATGCATTTTGATGGTTGTTGCCTACTTTATGGATTTTATTTTCCAGTGGTTTATATTTACTCACTTATTCATCTTCCAACCTGCTTATTCCAGTTCAGAGTCGCAGGTGGCTGGAGCCCCTCCCAGCAACTCAGGGCACAAGGTGGGACCCCACCCTGTGCCGGATGCCATCCTATTGAAGGATGCACCCACACACTCAGACTCAGGCTGGGCTCATGTAGACATGTGCTCAGCTTAGATGCAGCCTAGCATTCACAGCTCTGGGATGTGGGAGAAACTGGAGCACCTGGAGAAAACTCACAAAGACAGTTGCCCCCAAACCCAAAGAATCAATTTCCCCCCCTCATCAGCATTACAAAGGAATGACGTTATTCAAGAACCCTCTGTCTTTCACATTTTTGTTTATCTGTTCATTCACTAGTGGACCCCTGCATTGCTTCCACTTCTGGCTATTGTAAAAGTTCCCTGCTTTTAAAAAAATAAAGTAGTGACTGTATTTGTGGATATGATGTGAACGCTGCAGCCCTGAGCGTGTAGCGAAAAACACCATGGGAGCGCATACTTTCTCTAAATAACCTGTACTGTGTAATCAGGACTTTTCTTTTGATGATAGTAGAAATCAGTCTCAAGGCAGCTGCATCAAGAGATGCCCTTTACTAAAACTACACATCAGAGATGTGTGACAGTGTTCTGCACTTATTTTTTTAAATAACTGATCCCCTAAGATCTATTTTGTTTTTCAGTATATGTAATAATGTTTGAGAAAATAACTTTACCAACATTTTAGCAGGAACTGTATACCACTTTTCAGCCCTGGAGTTCCAAGCTTATCTTAAAGATTACTCATCCTATTGATCCTACCTCTAATACCATTTTGTTCCTCTCCACCTCCATCACCTTTGGTCAGGTCTGGTCATCACCTGTCTGGACTACTACCATAGTCTCTTCTATGCCATATCTTTTAAATTGTTCTGCCTGTCCAATCTTACTTCTCTATCCCCCTATGATTTCTAAAACACAAATTAGACCATAGTGTTCCCCTGTTTAAAGTTCTCCAGTGATGTGATTTTACTAGGTAGGACAAGTTATAGATAAACAAACCAAAAAGCTCAGGAAGACCAAGCTTTCATGACTGGGATGTTCTGGAGCCAGACCTGATGCCTAGAATCCACTGTTTGCTAGTCCCTTTCTTGGTTAGTGGAACCACAGCACTGATTTTTAAATAAAAGGTAGCAGTGTTGCAAAGGAACTTGCCGTATTTGAGGAGTGCCAGAAGAGTGGTTGTTGAAATTAGACAACTTGCTAATTTTGCAGGCTGGATTCCCACTTTATTTTAAACTTAAGCATGTGGTACTTTGGATAACTGCTAGTTAGATATTCCTGTGAATGTACTTTGAGGTGTTTGTGGGTTACTTCTTTTGTGCTTGTGAAATGAACCTGTAGCTCATGTTCTTTTAAGACATCAGCTATGGGTTTTGACTGTTGTTGTCTTGGGCAGCATTAGACTTGTGAACTTGGATAGAACGTACTGACCAAGGAATAGCAGAATCGTGGAGGCCAAACTTAGCATGTGTATGAACCACTACCTGCAGGCAGGTGAAAGGGGGGAGATGGGGGCTTAGAAATTCTCCCAGTGTTGGAAGAAGCTATTTCCTATACCACCAACACCTCCCTCCCTAACTCATCTCTCTGCTCATACGCTTGTTTAGGAAGATTCCATGAAAAATGGAATATTTGTGTCTAAAGAGCTGAGCAAATTTTTTTACATCACTGATACATATGTGGTGTGTACTTCATTTCCTATTGATGCCACATTATATACAGAGGATGCCAAAAAAGTATACACATTTTAAGAAAGGAAAAAACTGCCCGGGTGCAGTGACTCATGCCTATAATCCCAGCACTTTGGGAGGTTGAGATGAGAGGATTGTCTGAGCTCACAGGTTTGAGACCAGCCTGGGCAACTTGATGAGACCTCATTTCTACAAGAAATAAAAAAGAAATTAGCCGGACTGATGGCGCATGCCTGTAGTTCTGGCTACTTGGAAGGCTGAGGCGGAAGGATCTCCTGAGCCCAGCAGGTCGAGGCTGCGGTGGCTGTGATCGTGCCATTGTACTCCAGCTGGGCGATAGAGTGAGATTCCAACTCAAAAAAATGAAAATAAAAAAAGGAAAAAACTACTGTATTAAAATTGTAATGCTCAATATATACTGAAAAAAAAGATGAATACAAGTTACGTTTGACTTCTGCAATTACAGGAGGTGCTCAGAATGTTTACCATCAGCATCCAGACATTTTTGATTATGGTGAACTGAAAGTAATACATAGATAGCACTGCTTAAAATGTGTATACGCTTCTTTGACACCCTCAATATGTATGTGTGTATGTGTGTGTGTGTGTGTATGAATGAAGTATCTGCAATCATTATAGAGGCAATGTGTCATGGTTGTTAAGACTGCTTGGGCTTCCATTCTACTTGGTCTACAAATTGCTGTCACTTAACCTCCCTGTTCCAGTTTCCATATATAAAATGGGGACATTAATATCATCTACCCTGAGTCACTTTGTAGGATTATCATGAGGATTGAATAGGTTCGTGTGTGTAAAGCAATTAGAACCATTTAGTACATCACAAGTACTCATTAAGTGGGTTTATTTCAATTTATGATTATTTGTGTTAGAGGTAGAATTTTTACCCTATTCTTTCTTTTTTCCTTCTCTTGTATTTTTCCTCCTTTTGTAGGTATTTGCTTGGGGCTATAATAACTGTGGCCAAGTGGGATCAGGATCTACAGCAAATCAGCCAACTCCTCGAAAAGTTACAAACTGTTTGCATATTAAGAGAGTGGTTGGCATTGCCTGCGGTCAGACCTCGTCCATGGCTGTTCTGGACAATGGTGAGGT